ATCTCAGTATTTAATTATAGTATATGTATATCTATAAATGTGTATATATGTTTGTGTATAGATGTATATGTATATGTGTATATATGTATATACACACATGCACACACATATATACATAATACTCTGCCTTCTCTTTTGCCTATCTTATTTCTTCTGAATAAGGCATACCTTTCCAGGGCCATATTTTAGTCATGGGACTCATTCCACTCAGTTTCAGTGAGACAAAAGAAGGGAAAGAGACTTGCCCAAGGTTTCGTGGAAATTCACTAGCAAAGTTGGGACTGGGATCACATTCTCCTGATTCTCAGACCAGGGCTTTTCCCATGTACACTCTCTAGTGGACCAGCCCCTCAACTTGGAGTCACTGTTCCATTAGCTACCTGGGAAAGGACAGGGCTGCCAGATAGGATTCTACCCACTTGGCCCTGTTCTTGCTAATTTCTGCAAGGCCCAGGGACTGGATTCCCAAACTTACTGCTCAGTCTTCTTCAGTCCACTGGTCCGCTCCTCTCACTAAAAACTAGATAGCTTTCACAACTGCCTTCTGATGGTTTCCAGACAGGCCTCTATCCATTCTCTTCTATAACACCTCTCTTCCTATTGTACAAAAGTCCAATTCACACCCAAGACCTGACCCAATATATTAAGGATTTAGATGTTACTTATGCACATACCAAGTAAACATGCATATTGAAAGTTAGTTTTCTTCTAGGTATGGACACTGAATTAAGAGTATAGTTTGTAAAGTAGTTTTATCTTTTCCAATCTAGAGGTAGAAGGAATACACAACATAGTGCTTTAAATATAGCTGGCACTTAATGAACATGGAATTGTTTTATCTTGGGCAAATTATTTCCCCTCTCTGAGTCTCAGCTTCCTCCTTTCTAAAATGAGGATAATGATAATTATATTCCCTACTTTATAAGGTTATGGTGGGAAAAGCACTTTGTAAATAATTTTGTGGCTTGGGTTTTTTGGTGGTTTGGGGATTTCATCAATGTGAGGATCTCCCCATTCCATATAGATCAACAAGTGGGCTGTAAATCATAGCTTCAGAGAGTTGCCTGGGGTCCTTTGAAGTTAAATGACTATTTCTTGGTCATGTAACTAGGACTTGAACTCAGGTCTCCCTGATGCCGCAGCCAGGGCTAAAGATCCCCTACCCCAGCAGTTCTCCAACTTTTTGGTCTCAGGACCCTTTTAGTCTCTTACAGAATATTGAGGACCCCTCCCCCTACAATGAACTTTTATTTATGTGGGTAATAGCTACCAAAATTTACTGCATCAGAAATTAAAACATCTTGGAATTATTATGAACGACAAGTCTTTGTTGACTTCGAGGACCCCCTTGAAAGAGTCTCAGGACCACACTTTTCAAAACTGCTACAGTACATTATGCTGCCTGTTAAAATGTCATTTTTGTTGCTGTTCCTGTTATTGTGATTGTTATTATTACTATTTGTCCTGGTTCTGAGAGTCACTTCTCATTTTCTGCCTTGTGGATTATCTAAGGCTAATTTTTAAAGCCCATGCTATTTTTAAAGTATCTTTAATGACTCTGAAGTCCTGGGCAGGAAACAGAAGGATGTGGGACTTCAATGTTATTATTATCTCTTCTCCCAGCTCTAGGTAGGGACTCTGGAGGAGAGAGGAGGATGTGAGGACAGAACAAGTCAATAAGCATTTATTAAGCACTTACTGTGTGCCATGCACTTTGCTATATGCTGAGGATACAAAGAAAGGCAGTCCATGCTGTCAGGATACCCACATCCTAATCAGGGGAGACAATATGCAAACAACTATATACTTATAAGACATATTTGTATAAATGGGAGGTCATCTCAGAGGGAAGGAACTGGGAGGAGGGGCTGAGGAGGAGGAAGGAGCAAAAAGCCACAACTGGGAAAGGCTTCTTGCGGAAGTGGGGATTTTTAATGGAGTCTTGACAGAAACCAGGGAAGCCAGGAGGCAGAGATAAAGAGAAAACATTCCAGGCATGGGGGCAGAAGTGAAAAGCCATAGGTGGAGCTAGCAAAAGGTAGCCAGCGAGGTGGCATAGTAGATAGACAACTGGGCCTGGAATCGGGAAGATCTGAATTCAAATTCAGCCTCAGATACGTACTAGCTGTGTGACCTTGGGTAAGTCACTTAACCTCTGTCTGCCTCAGTTTCTTCAACTGTAAAATAGGGATGATAACAGCTTATTCCCTTCCCTGTCCCCCATGAAGTCTAGAGATGCTTTGATAAGTGTGAGGAACAGCAAAGAGGCCAGAGTCCCTGGATCATAGAGTGATCTTACAGAGGAATGAAGTGTAAACAATTTGGAAAGGTAGGATGGTACCAGACTGTGAAGGTTTTAAAAGTTCAAAAGATTTTGTTTGGTCCTGGTAGCTATAGGAGCACTGGAGTTCATTGAGTAAGGGAGTGACATGGTTGGAGCTGTTCTTTAGGAAGACCATTTTGGTAGCTGGGTAAAGGATGCACTGGATAGGGGAGCAACTTGAGTCAGGGAAACCAACCAGCAGGCTATTGCAGATAGCCTGGAAGAGAACTGAGAAAAAAACCGTTAGACTTGACTGTGGAGAGATGACTGGTAGCTTTGGAGAGAGCAGTTTTAGTTGAATGATGAAGTTGGAAGTCAGGCTGAAAAGAGTATAGAAAGCAGTGAGAGGAGAGAAAGTGGAGGCACTTATAGGAGTTTAGCCATGGAAGGAAGGAACAATATAGGATGACAGCTAGTAAGAAGGTGAGGGTCTTTTTTAAGGATGGGAGACATGTTCGTAGGCAGCAAAAAATAGCTAGTAGACAATAAGAGAGGGATAATTATTAAAAGTGGGGATGATGGAGAGGCAATCTGCTGGAGAAGATGGGAAGGATTGTGTGGGATTAATGGTTCCTGGAGATGGTTCTGGGCAAAGGGAAAGGGGTCAAGTCTTCATGTGAAAAGGGGTGAAGGAGGAGGTAATAGGGGAAGACGTGTGAGTGATATGAGATAATGAGGAGAGGGAAAGAGAAAACTCTTGGTGAGTGGCTCTAATTTTTTTCAGTGAAATATGAGGAAGGGTTCTCAGTGGAGAGGGTGAAGGCAGGAGCTACCATAGGAGGTATGAGAAAGAAGGGATGAAAAGATTTGGAGTGGCTGTTCTGGTGAGTGGATTAGGGACGTGTAAAAGGATCACTTTGTGCCAGAGAGGGAGAGTTGAGATTATGTAACAAATTTTCAGGGGATACACTCAGCATGGTTTTGTGGCTTTTCTCCAGCTCTGTTCAGCAGCATGGGAATAGGGGCAAAGACAGTGAATGGTAGGAGTAATACAACACTGAGGCCTGGCAGGTGGAGATTGGTGATAGGATAAGGGGGAAAGACACTCGAGTGTACAGTGCCTTGGTGGAGTCAAGATAGGAAATGGATGAAAAGGTAACCAGCACGGGGGGGATGGCTTGGGAAGGAACTGAGGGGTGGGGAGATTGAAGGTAGAATTGAGCAAAGTGAAAGATAGAATGATAAGATGTTATGATCAGATAATGGAATTTCATGGTTAATTAAGTAGAACACTTGTGGGTGATGGCAAGATCAAGAGTATGACCATCTTTGTGTATGGTGAGATAAGGTGAAGATCATGGGAAATAAGTAAATTGAAGAACCAGGAAACTAGGGTATTAGATGGAGTATGAATGTATATATTGAAGTCCCCTAGCATGAGGGCAGAGGTGGAGAGAAAGACTGTGATCTAAACGTTGAATGCATTGAGGAAGGAAGGAGAGTGTCCTGCAGATGCTTGATTGGGTGATGAATATGGATTGAATGAACCTCAAAAGGAGGAGAGCTCATTGAATTACTGTGGTAGGACAGTCTGGAAATGGCAGTGGGGATCAAGGAGTATTATGACTCTTGTACCATGACAATACCTTCACATAGCATGAGTGAAAGTTCAACTGGTACTGTAAAGGGTGGCCAGAGAGGCTGTGTCCTAAGGACGGAGCCAGGTCTCAGTGAGAGCAAGAAGATGGGAGGAGTGAGAAAGGCAAAGGCTTAAGATGAAAGCAAATTTGTTACCTATGGAACAGGCATTCCAGAGAGCACAGTGGAAGGCTCTGGAATGGGACATTTCAGGGGGTGTGGGAGGGCATTGAGGGGTATGGGAAGAAAGGAACTCAATGGGGGTTTGGGAAGGGGATTTGTAAAGAGTTCAGAATGGGGAGGGGAAGTATGATAAGGTGGGTGTATGCTACCCTTTGAGGAATGAGTCCCACTAGCTACAAAGATGGTATTAGAGAATGGAGTTTTGTTTTCAGGGCTCAGTGGGCTCCTGCCAAAGGATGTATCGAATAAGTACTGGGAAGAACGTTTAACAGGATATTCCTGAACCTGATCAAGAGATTTCTAAATGGGGGAAGAAGGGGAGATGTGAGATAATTGTGATATAGCCCAAATAACACTGGAATCAAGAAACACTGGGTTCAAATCCTGGTTGCTATCTATTAGCTGTGTAAATCTGGGCTAATCCCTTTCTTTCTCTGGGCCTCAGTTTCTTCATGTGTAAAGTGAAGATAGTAGTAGGTATGTGAGCTATCTTACAGGAGCATTTCAGGGAAAGTACTCTAAATCTCAAAGCGCTATAGAAATGTGAGTTGTTATTGCTACAGTGAGCAGAGTACGGTAACAAACTGATTTTGAGATCTTAATACGAGAAAGCATACCAGACTAGGAGTCAGGAAGACCTGAGTCTAGATCCTGTAGTAGTCCAGAAACTTGCTGACTTGGATGTGACACCAGGAAAATCACTTTCTCTCTCTTAGACTCAGTTTCTTCATCTGTAAAATGGAGATAATAAAAGTGCCTACCTGCAGGATTGTTGTGAGGATCAAATGAGATAATATATGTATAGTACTTTGAACACCTTAAAGTGCTATATATATTATACTATTACTATTATTCAATATTCTAAGGCCCCTTCCATTTCTAACATTCTATGATTTTAAAATTCTGTGAATCACAGGTTTGGTGGAATGGAATATAAGATTAAAATCCAGAAACAAAAAGTTGTGTTGCCAGAAGAAGCAAGGTTTACGTGTGTGTGGAGGAGAAGTAGGCATATAGAGCTACTAGACCATAGCTCTACCAGGGAAGGTAAGATGTCGTATTTCATTTTGTGTCCTCTACGGTGATGGCTACCAAGCCCTGTTCATGCCATTCCTCTACCCAAAAACTTTCAGTGGTTTCCCACTGTTGTTCAGTTATTTCAGTCATTTCTGACTCTTTGTGACTCCATTTGGGGTTTTCTTGGCAAAGATACTAGAGTGGTTTGCCATTTCCTTCTCCGGCTCATTTTACAGATGAGGAAACTGAGGCAAACAGGGTTAAGTGACTTGCCCAGGGTCACACATCTAGGAAATGTTTGACTTCAGGGCCTGTGCTCTATCTACTGTGCTGCCTAGCTGCTAGCTCCCCATTGCCTATCAGATAAAGTATAAACTGGCATTCAGTGCCCTCCAGTCTGTCTCGGACCCTATCTAGCCAACCTTACCTCACACTACTCCCCTTCATACTACATTCCAGTCAAACTAGACTACTCTCTCCCATCTCTCTGTCTTGATTTAAACCCTACCTCATGCATACCCTCTCCACCTCCATTATGCCATTAGACTGTGAGCTCCTCAAGAGCAGGGATTGTCTTTTGCCTTTTTTTTTTGTATCCCCAGCACTTAACACAGTGCCTGGCATTAGTAGGCATTTAATAAATGCTTATTGACTGCCTACGTCACTGTCTTGTATCACTCCTTCCTAATTGGTTCCCTGCCTCAAATCTCTCTCTCTCTCCAACCTCTTTACAATGGCCAAGGGGATATTCTTAAAGCTCAGTCTCAACAAGTCACTCCTCTGCCCCAACATGTCCAGTCCCCCCATTGCCTCCAGGATCATATACAAAGTTCTTTGGCATTTAAATTCCTTCACAATCTGGCTTCAATACAGCTTTCTAGACTTTCTATAAGAGCACATGACTTCCCTTCATGGGTTCTACTTTCCAAAAAAACTGGCCCTGCTCCAAACAGGACATTCCATCTCCAGTCTCTGTGTCTCTGTACCTTTTGCACAGGCTCTCCCCCAAACCTGGAATGCACTCCTTTCTTATCTCCACCTCCTAGAAACTCTAACATCCTTCTCAACTCATTTCAACTCTTATATTAGCCTTTTTCTGATTCCCCCAGCTATTGGTGCCTCCACCTACCAAATGACTTTGTGTTTGCTTTCTATCTATTTTACTTATTTATTTTTTTTATTTTTAGGCAATTGGAGTTAAGGGACTTGCCCAGGGTGACACAGCTAGTAAGTGTCAAGTGTTTGGTCTGAGGCCCAATTTGAACTCAGGTCCTCTTGACTTCAGGTCCAGTGCTTTATACACTGCGCCACCTAGCTGCCCCTGCTTTCTATCTATTTTATACAGACCCAGGAAGCCATGGGTTCAAGGACCATTTCTGACCCATGTTAGTTGTATGACCCTGAGTGGGTCACATATCCTCTTAGCTTGCTAGGCAACTCCCAGACTATAAACTACATCCATTTATTGGTAAAGCATCTACATCAGGGAGATTTCTGGGAAATCAGGGTCCAGTCCCTATCCCTATACATGTTATATTTTACTTTTATTTCTACATGTCATTTCCTTTCATATAATGTAAGGTCCCTGAGGCTGGGATGGTTTCATTTTTGTCATTTTTACCCCTATTGTCTACTATAGTAGCTAGAACATAGGAGGGGTTTAATAAATGCACATTGGTTGATTGGTTTGTTGAAATCTCTTGTGAGTTCTGGAAGTCAGGGACTGTTTTTTGCCTCTTTGTATCTCCAGTTGTTAGCACCAGTGCCTAGCACGAGTAGGTACTTAATAAATATTTATTGACTGACAGTTCCAGGCTCACTCAACTGAAATGCAACCAAGCTCCACGAAGTTAACTCTGATTTATCCAAGTGAGAGAAAGTCATAATTCTGCCTTCATCACTCCTTTGCACTTATCTTATGGAGTCATTCATTTAAAGCTGGAAGACACCTTACAGTTCTTTTGAGCTCAAACCCCTCATTTTACACATGAGGAAAGTAAGGAACAGAGAGATTAAATAACTTACTTTAGGGTCACCCACCATACTAAGACACTAACATATACTAGGCAGGATTTGAATTCAAGTCTTCTTGATCCAATGCTTCATTCACTATACAGCCTGTTTATTTCACTCCCTTTGCATGGCAGTTATTTGTGTGGTGATAAGCAATTTGAGAGGAGAGTTTTGCATATTCCCAAGCACTTAGGACAAGGATGTGTTTAATAAATGTTGCTTGAATTGCTGAAATATTCCATTTTATAGATAAGGAAATTGAGGCATCATGGCTTTAGAGCTGGATCTTAAGGGTCATTTAATAAAACCTCCTTGTTTCAGATGAAGGAACTGAGGGGAGAGAGATTAAGTAATTTGACCAAGTTTACACAGGTAAGGAACAGAGCCAAGATTCAACCTAGGTCCTCTGACTCTAAACCGAGTGGGTATAGAAGGAAGAGAAGGGAAGGCAGATACCTGACACTAGGCACTGTCCCAGCCCCCTCTCCTCCTCCACCTCCCCCCACCTCAGGATCTGGTGTCCACAGCTGAGTAGCTTCTGTGGCTTTTGTTTATTTATAGCTCAGCCTTGCACCCCACCCCCTCAGCCTTGTCCCTCTCCTTTACCCTCAAGGGAGGAGGGGGCTATTTGGGACCAGGGCCGCTGTTGGGGGGGGCACTCTTGCAGGGCAACCTCCATCTCCAATCCACCCCCACTCCCAGAGGATTGCCCTGAGAAAAGGGGTGGGGGGCATTCCTCACTCAATGCTCTTTTCTTTTCAGCTCTAAAATTGTATGAGGGGGTGTCCAGAAGGAAGGGTGTATGGGAATGGAGTAGGGGTGTTAGCAGAATGAGGGAGAAGATAAGAGGAATCCTGGTGAAGAGAAGTGTGTGTGTGGGGATCTGTGTAGGTGATGTTTCCTGGGATGGCAGCAGTTGATATTTGAGGAAGGGGAGTGAAGCGATTCTCAGGGGTCTCTGAAAGCCAGGAAAAGATTTGAAGGGGTCCTTGAGGAAGGATTATCCCGAGTCCCAAGTTCCACGGCACGGTTGAGGGCCTCCAGGGAGGGAGATGTGGGTCCTATAAGTAGGGGATCCCGAAGGTCCGAGGGAGGGTAGGGGGTGGAGATTCTGGAGGTCTCTGGGGGTGGGGGATGAAGCCCTGGGGAGGTTATGGGGTCCCAGGTGTTGGGGTGGGGTTGGAAAGGGGTACGGAAATGGTTGGAGCTGAGGAGCCGGACTCCAGCAATTAGAGGCCATCGAGAGGAGTGCTGCCCCCCCGTCCCCAGTTTTTGGGGGAGGTCGCGGCCCCTCGAGCCCTCTCGCGTGCACGCACCTGGCAGCGGCAGATGACGTCGGCGTCGGTGGCCAGCAGGTCCACCACCTTGCCTTTGCCCTCGTCCCCCCACTGTGCGCCCAGCACCACGGTCACCCTGGAGCCCACGGCCCCCGCCTCCTGCTGCAGCCTCCCGCGCTTCACGCCCCCAGGGCCCGCTGGCCGCTCGTTGGGGGCCCGGGGCCCGGACATCTTCCCGCTGGCTCCGCTGGGCTCCTCCTCCGAACTCTGCTCGGCCGCCACTGCCTGGGTGCTGTCCCCGCGCGAGGTCCCAGCGTCCCGACCATTAAATGGAGCCGGGGACTCCGGGAGGGGGTGGTGACGTCATGTCTGTAACCTCCCGGGCGGGGCGGGGGTGGGGGCAGCCCCTTGGCAGGGCCAGGGCGCCCTGACTGGCAAGGCAGCGGGGGGCATTGAGCGTGGACAGCGGGCATCGCGGATCTGTGTTAAACTCCTCTCCCGAGCAGCCAGATGAATTGGAAAGGGAAACTCGGCTCGAGTCCTGACTTTCCTGCCGTAACCTTGGGCAAGTATCTTGCCCCCTCCTGTCCTCATTTCGTCCTCAGTATGTAGAAGGGGTTGGAATGGATTATCTACGAGTGCGCTCTGAGCTTCTAGGGTTCCGCGAATCGTGGGCAGGGGGCTGATAAAGTAATTCGGCTCGGTTACTTACTACATGTATGACCTTGGGCAAGTCTCTTCTATGTTTTCTCTCTGTAAAATGAGGGGGTTGATCTCTAAGGCCACTTCCAATCTGGGGGCCCCCCTTCCAAGGAAGGGGGCACTTCCGGTGCAGACATTAGGATTGGGATGACAGAACAGAAGTGCTCTCCTTAGGCCCAGCTTAGAAGCCTGTGTGTCTGTAAAGGGCGACACTTAATCTCCCTTTGCCCTGGCTTCCTTTGCCTAATTTTGGCTTTCCCTCTGGTCTACTCCACCAATTTTTATTTGCACCCGAGGATGCCCCACCCTCCCTTCCTCCCCCAACCACTCTCAGCGTGGACCGACTGTTCTGTAGGCAGTGCTCTGTGCTGGGCCCTGGGGATGCAAAGATTCAGTTCAACAAACATATGTGTACAGAGTACAAGGCTCTGTGAGACCCTGGGGATACAAAGATAAAGCCAAAACAGCCCTTAGTTCTACCCTCAAGGAGTTTACAATCTACTGTGGGCAGGGTGGGGGGAGAAATACAAAATGCATACAACTAATGAAGTACAAATATATACAAAGTTTCCAAGTCATTAGAGGCAGTACTAATTACTGGGGGCTGGGGATCAAAGAAGGACAGCTCTTGTCCTCTAGAAGCTTGTAGTTTAAGAAGCATATGAAACACAAGGTAGAAAGTGATTGGGCAAGAGATAACTTTCCATGGTGGAGATGGCATCTGAGTAGAGGACCTTAAAACAAGCAAAGAGCTTCAGTAGAACAAAGGCAAGTGAGATGCACAGCTCCGAGGTACTCTTACTTGCATGGTGTCTAGTTTGACTGTGGAGTGTAGTGTACGTGAAGGCACAGTAATTTGAGATGTCCAGACAAGTTAGAGTTGCATGTCAATGGTAGAGTTTATATTTTATTGTGTAAGCCATTGAAAGCCACAAAGGTTTTTGAGATGAGTGATGTGAAAGCAAACATTAAGAAGATAGTTCAAGTAGCATATAGATTATTATTTTGGGAGAGGGAGATTGAAGGCTAAGACA